TCTAGACTTGTTGGAAGGTTCTAGTGAGGTAATAAACATGCTTGTGTGTGTGTGTTCTCAGAGCTGGTGTGTGTGAAGCTTGTTCAGGACCCATGTTCGGCCCGGGTCTGAAGCTCATCCGTCCCGTTCACGGTGTGTTTGGGCTTCAGTGTGTGCCGGTCATGTTCCTCTGCTGTTCTCCGGCGTGTCTCCACAGATTCAGGAATCACAACATCAGTGTTTGATCAGACAACACGTTTATTCTTCTGATGGAACTGCAGCTTTACACTTCTCTAAAACACTTTCACACAAAAATCAAATCCATGGGAAAAAAACATGTTTAAGGGTTAGTTCACCCAAAAATGAAAATGATGTCATTAATGCCTCTCCCTCATGTCGTTCCAAGCCCGTCAGACCTCCGTTCATCTTCAGAACACAGTTTAAAGCAGCACTAGGTTACTTTTCAACCTCCATAATATATTTCCAAGTCTCTTGTGATGGTACATCGACTTACAATAGGTTGAATGACACGTCTGCCATAGCCTGACGGGGTCTGTAGCGTTTTTAATCGTACTTTTAAACTTCGGGATCCACAACAGAACCGGAACACAATACAATGCTGAATAAAGGCCTAGTTTGTGTTATTTTTGGACCAAAATGTATTTTCGATGCTTCAACACACTCTAACTAACCCACTGATGTCACATGGACTACTTTGATGATGTCTTTATTTCCTTTCTGGACAAGGACAGTATACCGTACATACATTTACAATGGAGGGACAGAAAGCTCTCGGACTAAATCTAAAATATCTTAAACTGTGTTCTGAAGATGAACGGAGGTCTGACGGGCTTGGAGCGACACGAGGGAGAGGCATTAATGACATCATTTTCATTTTTGCGTAAACTAACCCTTTAAATACTTTCATTTTGATTGTTTTGAACTTCTTGTCGAGGCCAAATACTGTCCTGTCAATGTTCATCTAGTGCTTTATACTGTACATTGTTCCACAGCAACTTTACAGATATTAGAAAAATAAAGGAAATATGTTTTTGTATTTGCTCTGAAATTATTTAAAGAATATTTTTCTCATAGGAAGCATCATATGAATCACTTTGATTTAAAGTAGATAGTTTCATGTAAGAAGTAAAAATATAGTTCAAATAATCACGGCATAATTTGACTCATGTTCATCTAGTGAAGAACCTTTTCATTTATATGCACCAATATAATAATACATAGCCATAAACAGCAGTCTTTACCTTCATGTATTAAAACATTTATGAAACGGACACAGTAAAATGTAAATGAACATGTTCACTGAATCAAAGTCACAAATCAATACATTTGAATGAATCAAACCCACTCTGACTCTAAACTACTAAAGTTAGAGACACTATTAAAACATCTGAATGAACACAAAAACTGTTTTCAACATTGATAATATGTTAAGAAACAACAATGTTTTTTAAGAATCAAATCCTCATATTAGAGTGATTTCTGAAGGATCATGTGACACTGAAGACTGGAGTAATGATGCTGAAAATGCAGCTTTGATCACAGGAATAAATTACACTTTACTGTATATTCACATAGAAAACAGTTATTTTAAATTGTAATATATTTCACAATATCGCTGTTCTTACGGTATTTACGATCAAATAAATGCAGCCTTGGTGAGCAGAAGAGAATTCTTTAAAAAATATTCTTAATTATTCTCAAAATTCTTAATTTTTCCAAACTTTTGAACGGTAGTGTGTGTATGTGTATATATACACAGTTTGAAATGAACTTTTTCACTCACCGGCCAATTTGGCTGTTAAATTTTTAAGTTACCGGCCATTCAGAACTTCTGCTAGCCAAAAAAAGAGAGAAATGTACTTACAGTATGTCACAGTTATATATATATATATACATCTGTATGGACTATGTAGGATTATGGAAAATAACAATAATTTCTGTTCACCAAATGCTTTTTAATATTCGCTATTACTTCAATGCAAGAGAACAAGCGCGCCGTTATGTGTTGCGTAGTGACGTGTGTGTTCAAGTAAGCCAGAAATGAGCAGATTCTGCAATACGCTGTATTTAATATATCATGAGGATCACGAATATTTGCACTAAATCAGTGCAGATTTGTCTTACACGAACTTCCCAGCAAAGTGAGTAAACATAATAAGTAACACGGCAAATTGGCTCGTGATTTGACAGCGTTTCCCGCCACTGCTGATTTTACACACATTTGGCGAGTGTTAATTTCAAACCCTGTATATGTATATACTGTATATATCAGCTTGAGTAACAAAAGAAAGAAAGGATTCCTTCATTCCACCGTGGTTTTCTGGGAATCTTCCTCTGCGCTGCTGTTCACTCTCTCCTGTGTTTCCCGTGTCGGGTCATCGGTGTGTGTGTGCTCGTCCTCCTCCTGTGTTTCCCGTGTCGGGTCATCGGTGTGTGTGTGCTCGTCCTCCTCCTGTGTTTCTTGTATCGGGTCATCGGTGTGTGTGTGCTCGTCCTCCTG